GAGGGAGACCAGAAACAAGAAGACGGGAGGCCATGCCTCTGAGCCAAAGCAGAGAGGGGTGACCAAGGCGGTGGTGCCAGAGGAGAGTCTCGTGAGACAGGAGACGACACGAACAGGGGGCAGACTCAGGACCAGACCTCGACGCTGCAGCAAACGCCTGACCCGACGCAGCGACCCTACCAGACTCAACACCTGGAGGAGATGCAGTGGTCAGTGTGTACACGCTCGACCCCGGCTGACGGGTAAATGTAGCCAGGTGTCGGCCTGTGCTAGCCTCTGTGCAGTGCGTCACCCGCTGACGCGCAGGAGTGAACTGGTGTACTCCCCCATCCTGTAGGTCAGCACCACTCACCAGGTTCGTAGAGAACGAGGGGAGGTAGAGACCAGACAGGGTGCCAGAGGGAGCCGCCAGACACGGGAGGACTGTGGAGAAGTGAGTCAGGACAGGACTCCCAGAGGGGTCAGCGAGAGACACCGCAACCGGCCGACTAAGCGGCGTGAGTGTGGTGCGGTCCCGAAAGAAGGAGCGAGAAGCCCCAGATTCAAGGGTGAAGGTGAGGGAGGCTGAAGCCGACGTAGTACCTGAGAGCGCAGACTCACCGGTACCTGAGGACGCAGACGCACTAGCACCTAGAGCAGCAGCGTCGCAAGCACCTAGGGCAGCCGCCTCACCAGTACCTAGAGCAGCAGTCTCAATGCCCGGATCGGGCGAGAAACACCGGTAACAACCACTCTCATCACTAATAGACACAGCATACATGGCAGAAAGAATAGCATCAAAATCAAGATCATAGATGGCAACTCCCGCCCTAGACAGCTCGCCCCAGCGAGGGATCTCTGTGGCCTCCGGGAACTGGTGACGCCACGCGTCCATCAGGCGGCCAAAGCAGCGCTGGGTGGGGTGCGCACCCCCACACTGCTCACCCACACGGTCGCCGGTGCGCAGGACGTAGGTGCACGGACCAAAACCCCCACCCCGCTGGCGTGCAGTGTACCACTCACGGAGCTGCTGAGGGGACAGGGTCTCACGACTGCGCTGCTGCTGCTGGCGCGGACCACCACCGGAGCCACTCCTCTGCGTAGACCCGCGACCAGCTCCACCGCCACCCCCGCCGCCTCCGCCGCCTTCGCCGCCGCCGCTACTACCGCCGCCTCCGCCACCGCCGCCACCTCCGCCACCTCCGCTCCCACCGCCACTGCCGCCGCCGCCTCCGCCTCCACTGCCGCCACCGACACCTCCACCCCCACCACCACTCCCACCGCCAACCCCACCCCCCCCGCCGCCTCCACCTCCACCTCCACCGCCCCCGCTCGCCCCTCCAGTGCCCCTGCCCCCCTTGCCCTTGCCAGAGCGACGTCTCCCGCTAGGGGCAGACGCCGCACCGACCGACTCAAGACCAAGGAGGTCGGCCGCAGCAGCAGAGGCAACAGAGGGCAGAAGGGGGGAGGGGGAACACCCCTCAAAGATGGGGGTGCGCGGGTCACCACGAGAGGCCCCTACAGCGACTATGCTCTTCTCGGCCGCTAGGAGGGACTTCTCGAGGAGGTCAACAGTGAGAGTGGTGGGACAGACTGAGAGGAAGTGGTCCCTGACTACTCGAAGGGAGTCAGGGAGGCGAGTGACTATGTAGTAGAGAGTGATGTACATGGGGGGGGGGGTTCTTGGCGCAGAACTCAGCAGGAAGCGCAGCGCGGTAGCGAGTGTCACTAGTGCGGAGGTGCGTAATGAGGTCAGCGACTGTGGGAAAGGCAGCAAGGTCAGGGAAGAGGTACGGTAGCATGAGACGGCTCAGTGCAGCAGTGGCAGGGGAGGAGTAGCGCGCAACTACAGCGTCGTACAAGGTCTGAGCACTCTTGTACTGACTAAAGTGCGCACGCTCGGAGGTAGGGAGGTAGCGACGCACATCAAGACGTGCAGCAGCGTCGCGCGTGGCCCACTGGGAGCGAATAGTGGCGTCAGCATCAGCAGCAGGGGCAGGAGAGGCGCCAGAGGTGAGGTCAAAGAGAGAGAGACCGTCTGCCCTATCGCACTGTAAGAACAGCTGCAGGTCATCTACCCAGACGTCAAAGTCAATGGCTCGACCCTCAGCGTCAAAAGCAAGGACACTAGGGGTAGCCATGACCACAGTAGACTAGCAGTGCAACAGTAGGGTGAGGGCAGTGTAGCAAAAAGGAGGCACTGTGGTCACCCGACAGGGCAGCTCGGGCGGCTCGGCAGTAGGGCGGCTCGGCAGATCGGCGGCTCGGCTACTGGGCGGCTGGGCGGCTCAGCTGCAGTGCGGCTCGGCTGCTGGGCGGCTCGGCTGTAGGGCGGCTCGGCTGCTCGGTTGATGGGCGGCTCGGCGGCCGGCTGTCCGGCTGCTCGGTTGCCCGGGCGGCTCGACGGTGCTGCTGCAGGGCGGCGCGGCGGTCGGCTGCTCGGCCGGGTGGGACGGGTCGGGAAGCCCGGGCGGCGGGCGGCGCTGCAGCAGGTGACGAGGCCGCAGGTGAGGGCGGCGGGGCCGCCAACGAGAGGGGCGGGGCCGCAGGTGAAAGCGGTGGGGCCGCAGGTGAGGGCGGCGGGGCCGCAGTAGAGGGCGGCGGGGCCGCAGAGAAGGGCGGCGGGGCCGCAGTTGAGGGCGGCGGGGCCGCAGCAGTTGAGGGCGGCGGGGCCGCAGCAGTTGAGGGCGGCGGGGCCGCAGTTGAGGGCGGCGGGGCCGCAGGTGAGGGCGGCGGGGCCGCAGGTGAGAGCGGCGGGGCCGCAGCAGAGGGCGGCGGGGCCGCAGAGAAGGGCGGCGGGGCCGCAGTTGAGGGCAGCGGGGCCGCAGCAGTTGAGGGCGGCGGCGTCGCAGATGAGGGCGGCGGGGCCGCAGTTGAGGGCGGCGGGCCGCAGGAGAAGGGCGGCGACGGGCCGCTTGTGAAAGGGCGGCGCGACGCGGCCGTTAGGGCTGCGCGACGCGGCCGTAAGGGCGGCGCGACGGGCCGCTAAGGGCGACGCGACGGGCCGCTAAGGGCGACGCGACGGGCCGCTAAGAAGGGCGCGACCCTAGGCGCGCTTCGGGCAGGGGCAGGACGCGCCCCGGGTAGGAAAAAAAGGGAGGATCGGTGGGCCCTAGGAACAGTTCCCACGAGGGAACCTGCTCTGATACCATGAGAAAATGAGAACGAGAATGAATGAACTATGAATGAACTGAGTACAAGTACTAACCCTAATTGGGTTGTACCCCTTATGGGCTACCCCACTATAGCCTACACAATAAGCACAAGCTATATGTTCTGACAGAGGGAAAGTTGTGGGTGATCCAGCATATCACTTGAGTGAAAGGTTGAGAACATGCACCACTCTACCGCGAATTTCAGAGTCTATTCGGTAGACATCCGAAAGGGTTTGATATTTTTACGTGGAGGCGCGACGAGGGGTGCATCGCCAAGGATACATGGGATTCGCCAAGTGGCTTCGACGGGTATGAAGATGGGTGAACATCAGAGTACCAGGGTTAACGGCGGAAACGTCCGAGTACACGGCGGAAAATAACTTCGGGACTGCTGCCTCAACCATGATTTTCGGGGTTCATTCCTACGGTGGGAGACGGGTGATTGTTTGCTCGCCAAGTGATTTCAGCGTTTACGGTGTACTTCGAAGCCATCTGGGGAAATTCTACGGCAAGATCTGCGGCGTCGATGCGGGCTAGGTTCCGTGAAATTCGGTCCCGGTAGACCCATAGTTCTGGGTTTCGCACGAAAAGCGCCTCCTGTTGGTGGGTTGTGTCAGAATATATCTGTAACTGCCTATAGCTGTAGTTAGTGTAGTTATTATAAACTTTGTTTGGTGGTGCACCTTCTTTGTTTCCTTTGCTATATGTTCTTGCAAACCTATAGTGAAGTCACTCTTTCTCCTTTCCAACTTTCTCGACACTCTCCTCAACTCTAAACTCGATCTCTAAGAACCTAACTAAACTATGGCTCCTAAGCCCACCTATGCTTAGTATCTCAACATGGTATCAGAGCGGTCTCGGGTTCGATTCCCGGTGTATGCACATGTAGGCCGTTGCCGCTGTGCTTAGTCGTGGGCTTCCCAGTGTGGGGGGGTGTCAGTAGATCTGCACTGTGGATGTCCGATTGATCCTGGAGAGGGTTACAGGCGCATTCGCCTGGGGGGTTATGGGCGCACTGACCCGCTACTGAAACAAGCTCTTTTATCCCAATGGTCTAGTGGTTGGGATTCTGACATGGTATTCAGAGCAGGTATCGTCCTCCTGCTGCCTTCCTGCTTCCGCTGCCTATCGTCCTGCCGCGCGCCTCGGGCGCGCGGCGTAGGCGCACGGCGATTTTCTGCCCGCCGAGTGCTCGGGGCGCACGGCGGGCTTTTGCCCGCTGTGCGCCCTGGGCGCGCGGCGTCTTCCTGCCCCGCGCGTGGCCTGCCCTCACGCCGCCTGCGCGCCTGCCTCACGTCCACGCGCGGGCCTGTCTTGCCCGCCCGTACCCTCCACTTCGCGGCGCCCTGCGAGGCGCCGCTCCTGCTCGTCGCGACGCACCTGCGGGACCCGGGTGTCGCCGCTCCTGCTCGTCGCGACGCCCCTGCAGGACCCGCATGGCGTCGCCTTGCTCGTCGTGACGCCACTGCGGGACCCGCGGGGCGTCGCCACTGCTCGTCGCGGCGCCCCCTGGACGCCGCTCCTGCTCGTCGCGGCGCCCCTGGGGCGTCGCCCCTACTCGTAGCGGCACCCCTTGGGCGCCGTTCCTACTCATCGCGGCGCCCTCCCCCCTGGCCACCGCCTCTGTCTCACCTGCGCCCGCGCCACCGTCGCAGCCGCGCGCGGGCCTACCTTGCACCAGCGCCGCCCCTGGAGCAGCCGCCCTTGGACCTCAGCAGCCGCTCCTGGACCTCAGCAGCCGCCCCTGGACCCCGCAAGCCGCCCCAGCAGCAGCCCACGGCGCCGACCCTACAGCTGTATGCGCCGCCGCTCCTGGACTCGGTACGGCTGCCTGCCTGTGCTGCCTGTTGCTGCCTGTTGCTGCCCATGCCTGTGCTGCCCGTTGCCGCCCGTTGCTGCCCGTGCCTGTGCTGCCCGTTGCCGCCCGTTGTTGCCCGTGCCTGTGCTGCCTGTTGCCGCCCGTTGCTGCCCGAGCCTGTGCTGCCTGTTGCTGCCTGTTGCTGCCCGTGCCTGTGCTGCCCATTGCCGCCCGTTGCTGCCTGTGCCTGTGCTGCCCGTTGCCGCCCGTTGCTGCCCGTGCCTGTGCTGCCCGTTGCCACCCGTTGCTGCCCGTGCCTGTGCTGCCCGTTGCCGCCCGTTGCTGCCCGTGCCTGTGCTGCCCGTTGCCGCCCGTTGCTGCCCGTGCCTGTGCTGCCTGTTGCCGCCCGTTGCTGCCCGTGCCTGTGCTGCCTGTTGCTGCCCGTGCCTGTGGTGCCTGTTGCCGCCCGTTGCTGCCTGTGCCTGTGCTGCCCGTTGCTGCCTGTTGCTGCCCGTGCCTGTGCTGCCCGTTGCCGCCTGTTGCTGCCCGTGCCTGTGCTGCCTGTTGCCGCTCGTTGCTGCCCGAGCCTGTGCTGCCTGTTGCTGCCTGTTGCTGCCCGTGCCTGTGCTGCCCGTTGCCGCCCGTTGCTGCCCGTGCCTGTGCTGCCCGTTGCCGCCCGTTGCTGCCCGTGCCTGTGCTGCCTGTTGCCGCCCGTTGCTGCCCGTGCCTGTGCTGCCCGTTGCCGCTCTGCTGCTGTCCGCGCCCTTGTGCGCTCTGGTCTGTTTGCGCCCTCGTGCGCTCTCTTGCTGCCCGCGCCCTCGTGCGCCCTGCTGCTACCCGCGCCCTCGTGCGCTCTGTTCTGCTCTGTCGCCCCTGCCCCCCCCCCCCCCCTTCTTCGTCTCCTTGCTGCGCGTGCAGCCGTGGAACGGAGGCTATGGGGGTGGCGGGTATGGGGGTGATGGGTGTGTGTGATCCCCTTCCCCTCCTCCTCCTTTCTCTCCCACTGCTGCAGCTGCCGCTGGGGGGGGGTGGGTGTGAGGGTGTGGGGGAGCTGGGGGAGAGGTGCTAGGGTTGTCAAGGAGTGTGGAAGGGGGAGTTGGAGGATTGAGGAAGGTTCCAGGAAGCAGCCGCCTTGGAGCCAGCAGCTTCACCTGCCAGCAGCCTCTCCTCATATAGTCCCTCCTCCTCACTTGCCCTCTCCTTCTGCTGCGCTTGGTGTACCCCTTCAGGGGGTGTCTCTGCATTAGCTTCTACTGCAGGCAGTTATGGAGGAGTGTCAGAATATATCTGTAACTGCCTGTAGCTGTAGTTAGTGTAGTTATTATAAACTTTGTTTGGTGGTGCACCTTCTTTGTTTCCTTTGCTATATGTTCTTGCAAACCTATAGTGAAGTCACTCTTTCTCCTTTCCAACTTTCTCGACACTCTCCTCAACTCTAAACTCGATCTCTAAGAACCTAACTAAACTATGGCTCCTAAGCCCACCTATGCTTAGTATCTCAACAGGTTGCTAGTGTGTATAACTGTCAGAATCCCAGCCAGTAGACAACTGGGATAAAAGGGCTTGTTAAGTAGCGGGTCAGTGCGCCCATAACCCCGCAGGCCAACATGCCTGTAACCCTTCCCTAGGATCAATCGGGGATCACCAGTGGACCTCTGACACCCCCCCGCACTGGGATGCCCGAACTGCACACACTGGGATTCGAACCCGAGACCTTCGCTCTGATACCATGTCAGAATCCCAGCCACTAGACCACTGGGATAAAAGGGCTTGTTAAGTAGCGGGTCAGTGCGCCCATAACCCCCCAGGCCAACATGCCTGTAACTCTTCCCTAGGATCAATCGGGGATCACTAGTAGACCTCTGACAATAACCACAGGCGATGAAAATGGCGACGGGTGGGCACGCTAGATACTCCGGTTCTTCGAGGGAATAAGCTGCAGGTGACCAAGACGTACGAGTGCTTTTCAGTTCCGACATTTGCGGGCACCACGAGCAGTTCCGAGGATGAGTAATAACGAAGTCAGCGGGGTCGCTGACAGCATATGTGCCAACGGCGGAGTTGCAGCGGTGCTTGATTAAGCGCGCGAAGGCACTCGGCGTTAAAGTGTAGCAGTACAGCTCGGAAGCTGCTCGGGGGTACCAGCGACAACACCAAGAGAAGTTTTGCAGCACGTGGGGGGGACAACGCGACAGCTGTTTTCGCCCCTGCCCGGAGGTACTCGGCGGGTAACAGCAGCGTCACCGGAGGCGCTGACGTCATCGGCAATTCAAGTTCGAAGCTTAAAAAATATTCGGTAGTCAGGGGGGGGAACAACAACTGTTTTTCGCCTCTGCCCGGGAGATTTCAGAGAATCACGACAAATGCCTCGGCGAGCCACGACAAGGTCGCCGGAGGTACTGACGCCATCAACACCTCAGTTTGCGTTTTCAAGGGAATTTTCAAGATTGACATTCGGTCAGTTACGTGATCCGCCCCTCTCGTCGAGTGTTGCTGATGCGCTAAAACGACTTCGTAATTTTTGCGACGGCCTTCAACGACGAAATTCAACGATCCGTAGTCACGACTGGCGGAATTCTGTGTCAGTAGATCTGCACTGTGGATGCCCGATTAATCCTGGAGAGGGTTACAGGCGCGTTTGCATGGGGGGTTATGGGCGCATTGACCCGCTACTGAAATAAGCCCTTTTATCCCAATGGTCTAGTGGTTGGGATTCTGACATGGTATTCAGAGCGGTCTCGGGTTCGATTCCCGGTGTATGCACATGTAGGCCGTTGCCGTTGTGCTTAGTCCTGGGCCTCCCAGTGTGGGGGGGTATCAGTAGATCTGCAGTGTGGATGCCCGATTGATCCTGGAGAGGGTTACAGGCGCGTTCACCTGGGGGGTTATGGGCGCACTGACCCGCTACTGAAATAAGCCCTTTTATCCCAATGGTCTAGTGGTTTGGATTCTGACATTCTGGACTGGTTTCGGGATTTTTTACTAGCGACAAAGCGACCAACGAGTTCGCGCCAGCGACAACATTTGGTTCTCGGGTGGCAGCTGCTGCCAACTGAAATTCTGCAGCATTCGAGAAATTCGATTTTGCCACAGCAATAAGACAAATAGACCGCAATTTCGGCTTGTAGCCGCTGACAACAGGAAATTACTGCAGCAGCAGGGTGATTCGATGCTGCCACGCGGATATTCTGGGGTGGCAGTCACTGGGGATGCTCCAGCAGCAGTCGCGACTACAAGACAAGAAGATTTCATTTGGAGATTTCATTACGACGGGTCGAATTCGAGTCCCAGCGCCCGACGATTTTACCTGCTCAAAGGACTTTGACGCATTTACCCTGAGTGAACGGCGGCAGCGAAGTGTCGGTGAGCAGGAACAGCGACGGGTCAGCAGTCAAAGGACCAAACCCAAGAGCCGCAAGTGTCGTCCTCAATGTGTCATGCCACTCACGAGGCGCCTGGCGGAGACCGTAGACTGGCCACCGGACGCTCCACTGGGTACCTGCAGGAAACGACCCAGTGAAGCCAGGTGGGTGGCGCAGCCAGATCTCCTCGTGCACAGTGCCCTGTAAGAAAGTTATGCTGAAGTCAAGAGAGTAAAGCTCGTAGTCACGCTAAGCAGCGACGTGCAACACCATCCGAAGGGTGGTCATCTTCGGGGTAGGGGAGAAGGTCTGGAAGAAGTCAACTCCCTGTCGCTGACTAAAGCCTCTAGCAACGTAACAAGCCTTGAAGGCAGGCGGAGAACGTGGCGGCCGCTTCACCCTAAAAATCCACATGCCATCGACAATGTTCGCCCCAGGAGGGGGAACTGCGTCGACGTAAGTGCCTATGGACGTCCAGGATGCCATCTCTGCGTCCATGGCGCTCTGCCACTGAGAGGAGTAGGGACCCAAAATCGCCTCCTCGTAGGAGCGCGGGGTCGGGATGTCTGGAGCATCCGGGTCTCCCTCAGGTGCAATCAGCATGGACACGATGTGAAATAACAAGGAATGAATGCATTGAGCAGCATGAGGAGTACAAGTAGGAAACCCTAAAGTGTTGTACCCCATATGAGCTACCCTACTACAGCCTACACAGACTATAGCATATAAGTTTGACACACCCCCATAAGCAAAGTGGGGGAGAACAAGAGGTCACATTCCAGTCAAGAGAAGCAAGGCAAGCTCAGGGTGGATCACAACGTCACCACACAATCTGAGCACAAACACAAGGCCACAAGGCCAGTTCACATGCAGAGTTATATATCAAGATGAACAAACAAGGCAGTGATCTCAACCTAGCAAGGGTAAGCATGCAAGTGCAGGTATATATAGATCACAGTACAAGCAAAGTCAAGATGTGAGCAAGTGAGGCCAAGTAGGCACAAGACCTAGCATAGTACAAAAGCGCTGATGATCACAAGGCGGAAGTGCCTTGGTAAAGATATCAGCAGTGTTGGCCTCAGAGGCCACGTAAGCAAGGCGCAGCTGAACGCGCTGCTGCAGCTCACGAGCAAGGAAGTAGCGAAGAGCAATGTGCTTCGTTCTGTGCTCTAGTCTGTGCTCCCGACACAAGGCCAACATGGCCTTGTTGTCTACGTACAGCACTGGAGGAGAACGAGGCACCTCTCCTAGGTCAGTCAGCAGGTAGGTGAGCCAGCGTAGCTCCTGTGCAGCCATGGCCCCCGCGTAGATCTCAGCCTCATAGCTGGAGCCGAGAACAGAGGACGAGCGGGTAGACCGCCACGAAACAGAGCCGGAGCCGAGGCTGAAGGTGTAACCCTGTGACGACCGCTGCGTAGCCTGCTCGTCAGCCCAAGAAGCGCCTGCGTGACCTGTGAGGACCACTGGACGTCGCCCTCCAAGCACTAGCTGTCAGAACATATATGTAGCTTATGCTGTTGTGTAGGCTACAGTGGGGTATACCATAGGGGGTACAACCCAATTAGGGTTTTGCTATTTGTACTCACTTCACTCATAGTTCATTCATCCTCGTTCTATTCTCCACATGGTATCGAGCAGGTTCCCCCGTGGGAACTGTGCTTAGGGCCCACCACTTTTAAACTTTTTTTCTGCCCGGAGCGCGCTCCGGGCCCTCGCTCTCACTCTTTCGGCCTGCCCTGCGGCCCCCTAGCCGCCCGCGCGCGCCCGTTCCGGCCCCTAGCCGCTCGCGCGCCGCGCGTTCAGGCCCCTAGCCGCCCGCGCGCCGCCCGTCCCGGCCCTTAGCCGCCCGCGCGCCGCCTGTCCCGGCCCCTAGCCGCTCGCGCGCCGCCCGTTCAGGCCCCTAGCCGCCCGCGCGCCGCCCGTCCCGGCCCCTAGCCGCTCGCGCGCCGCCCGTTCAGGCCCCTAGCCGCCCGCGCGCTGCCCGTCCCGGCCCTTAGCCGCCCGCGCGCCGCCCGTCCCGGCCCCTAGCCGCTCGCGCGCCGCCTGTTCAGGCCCCTAGCCGCCCGCGCGCCGCCCGTCCCGGCCCCTAGCCACCCGCGCGCGCCCGTCCCGGCCCCTAGCCACCCGCGCGCGCCCGTCTCGGCCCCAAGCCGCCCTGTGCCGCCCGCCCCGGCCGCGCTCTCCTGTCTCGGCCCCTCGGCGCCAGGACGCCGCCCGTCCTGGCCCCTCACCCGTCCCGGCCTCACACCGCCCGTGCGCCGCCCGTCCCTGCTGCACGCCGCCGTCCCGGCCCCCCCCCACGCCGACCGTTAGCCGCCGTGCAGCCTGAGCCGCCCGAGCCGCCCGAGCCGCCTCCCCCCCCCCCCCCCCCCCTTTTCCCGTCGCCTGTCGAGGCAACTTGAGAGGCCAGCTGAGGGGTGGCAGGTGTGTGGTCTCCCCTGCTTCTCCTCCTCCTTCGTCTCGAGCCGCCCTGCAGCCGAGCCGCCTCGCCGCCGAGCCGCTCTACACCCGAGCCTCCCAGCAGCCGAGCCGCCCTGCAGCCGAGCCGCTCTACACCCGAGCCTCCCAGCAGCCGAGCCGCCCTACAGCCGCGCCGCCGGGTCGCCGAGCTGCCGAGCTGCAGTTGCTGCCGAGCCGCTCTGCCGCCGAGCCGCTCGAGTCGCCCGAGCCGCAGAG